TTTCAATTATCACCAACAAAATTTTTGTACACACTCAATTAAAAATCTTTAATTTTTCGCAGTTTATTATATACAATAATAAAATACTAGTGCATATATTTTTCTAATTACATTTAACAAACCATATAATAAAAAGGAATACAGTGAAAGACTGCACTTGAAAAAATTTACTTTTGAAGGAATAAATTGCATAAAAATTACATTTATTATATATATCAGATATATTAAAAAAAATTTTTTTACGTGTAGAAATTACATTATTTATTAAAAATGAATATCAATATATGTGAATGTGAAATCGATGCAACTTGTAAGTAAAATATTTACAGGGGGATACTATGAGTTACTAAATGATTTACTTGTGCCATACAAGTAAATCATTCGATAACTCGTAGTATCCTCCTATATTTACCAAATTTTATATTAATAAATAAATTTTGAATATTTTTAATAATAATATATTATAATTTTCAGACAAAACAAATAACTTTGGAATGGAACTTTATTGCTTTCAAGCTGAGGTAAATAGTACAGAATTTCCATTAGCTTATCTGTTTCTAGAAAATAATAGAAAGTGTAGTGAAAGAATTCGTACTTCTGTTATTCAGACCTTTCTTACAAAATTGCGAGATAAAGGAATTTGACCAGAATTTCTACTTACGGATAAAGATTTTGCTCAAATCAATGCTACACGTTTTACCTGAAATGGAATTAAAATTCAATTATGCAAGTAGCATATTAAAAAAGCTGTTTTGTTATGATTATCAAACAATAAAAAACTCAGAACTTCTTCATTTAATCCATTATCTGAATTTGGTGCTCGGTTTCCATTCGATAGTATTGTACAATCGCCTAAATTTTGTCCTAAAGAATACCAAGAAACAATTTGGAAAATGATAGAAAAGCATCTTCATCAACATCCATTGATTCCTACGTATGATGGCCAATTTATTACTGGAGAATTAATATGGAAGACTGCAATTCAAGAAGCTTATTCTTTTTGTAAAAATAATTCGTTAATTTCACTTTGGTGCTATCTATAGGGTGAAGTAGTACAAATTTCAACAGTCATACCAGTTTATA